AGAGAGAAATGCAATCTGACTTTTTAACCTGTGATGTATATACATTGAAATTTATGAATCCTACTTGAGGAGAATGGCTTTTCTTTCCTTCAAGGCACAAATAAGCTAGATAAGGTAATTTCTGAGCATGTTATTATACTGTCATTATTACTGTTTGTATATATTTTAAATAATATATGGATCATGAAAGCACCTGACCGCTCTGGAACTCAATACTTTTATGTGTAAGAAACTAAATATTCTCATTGATAATTTCAGTCTAAAATTTTGTTTTGAATTTGCCATTACATTGAGACGCATTTTTCACATTGTAGACATTAAAACAGTACATGTGATTATATAAAACACATACTTCTGGAATATCATGCAATTACTGCAGTATGACTTTCAAACTTGGTCACTTAGCAATTTATCCCATAATCCTATAACTGTTAAAAGTTTTTGTTTTTTTTTTAAGAAACTGACCTCGGGAGGAACCCTTAGATGGCATTTTTGTATGACAAGGCATTAGCTTTTACTAGTAACAATATCTTTGAACATGGTACTATTCAACCAAGCATAGAAATGTTCTTACTCTTAATAAGCCTCAGTAATCAAGGAATCTTTTCTTCCTTATTTCAACAACACAAGTTAAGACAGAAGATCTGTGGACTGTTTTCTCCTAAGAGATCATCTGCAATGAAGATCCTTCTCTTTTTCTCTATTTTGTTCTTTGGTGTCTTCGTTCCACCAGGTAACATGAATATTATTGCCAGAGGGGTAAGCACCAAATGAGCAGAGTGTCAGGATTTTTTTAAGTGACTATCATTCACATTCTAGAATCATTATATTATATTAGCAGGACCACACTATATTTATTTACAGTCCCTAGATAAGAAAATATTTGAGTAATTTTTTAAGGACATACTCTAGTAAGGGCTGGAATTCACTAAGTTTGTCTGTTGTTGGAAGAAAATAGTGCTATCATGATTGCCTCGATCTCTGAAAAGTATGCTTATTTAAGACTCAAATTCTGCTAAATTTAATATACTAACATATCTGAAAGAAATTGAAGTGCAATGAATTTATGTTTGGAAATCATTCATCCCACATTTATAGTATTGATAGCAGAAGTTAAGTGAGGTTAAATGGCATGCTACAAGTTTTATTATATTCATAAATGAGACTAGTGCACATCTACTCATTTCCAGTTGAAATCTTTATCTTGCTGCTTTCCCTGAATCACCAAGATATCTGTCATTCCTGAAATTGGAGATCACCCAAAAATAAATCTAAATAAAAAATAAATCCTATTCTCTCACTGCTACTCTGTTCTGACACTCACACATAAATAACTTCTTAGCTTACAATTTCTTACCAAAAGCAGACAAGTAAACAGACTTTAATTGATAATGTAACCCATGTACTCAAGGATTGCAGTTAATTTCAGTAAGATTAATTTTTCCTTCATCAACTTCATAAAAATTCATTGGAATATGCTTACTAAAATCCCTCTACTTCTAGAAATTTTCCAAGATATTATGCAGAATTATATAAATTTCAGTAAATACTGATGCCTTTTCTTCCTAGTAATAATGATTTTCAATACCTAGCATCTGTTCTGCCTTTTACCCACATTAATTTATTACTCTTTATGATAGCCAGGTGAGGTAATCTTAGGAATGGCCCAATCATTTACTTATTCAACCCAATTTCAAAGAAATGTGCACTATTTGTTTATCATTTTCTAAAACCTTTTCTAGTATATAGGACCATGAAGTAAAGGTAAGTAGGTCAGTGTCTTCATTTTGGAAGACATTTTTGTCTTTAACTTCTGAAATAATTTTTTTCTTTTATAGAGGGCTCTGACCAGCCTGTTGGCAATTCTATGTCATTATCAAAAATCAAATGTCGACGGAAGTTAGAGAAACTATACTCAGAGACACGTGATTCTTCCACAAGATTTGAAAACATACAGTATGGCACAGAGAAAGACAACAGAGGTAAATATAAAACAAATGGCATTATATCTTGCCCATTTTAATTACTGTCTGTCAAATGAAATGAAGGAAATGTTCTAAGTATGGTCTCCAGCCCAGTCCCCATTTACATAGCTCTTCTTGTCTTTTACTTTCTAGGCATTTCTTTACACTAACAATGAAATATCAGAAAAGGAAAGTAAAGAATCCCTTTTAAAATTGCATCCAAAAAATAAAATAAAATACTTATGAGTAAATCTGACCAAGGAAGTGAAAGACATATGTGGAGAACTACAAAATATTGACTAAAGAAATTAAAGATGACTTAAATAAATGGAAAGATATCTCATGTTCTTGGATTGGAAGAATTAATACTGTTAAAATGGCCATACTACCCAAAGCAATCTACATATTTAATGTGATCCCTGTCAAATTACCCAGGGCACTTTTCATAGAATTAAAACAAATAATCCTAAAATTTATATGGAATCACAAAAGACCCAGAATTGTCAAAGCATTACTGAAGAAAAACAGTGAAGCTGGAGGAATAACCCTCCCAGACCAGACAATACTACAGAGCTACAGTAATCAAAACAGCATGGTATTGGTACAAAAACAGACATATGGATCAATGGAATAGAAGAGAGAGCCCAGAAATAAACCCATAAACTTTCAGTAAATGAATCTTTGACAAAGGAGGCAAGAACATACAATGGAGTAAAGAGTCTCTTCAGCAAATGGTGTGGGGAAAACTGGACAGCTGCATGTAAATCAGTGAAGTTAGAATACTCCCTCACATCACACACAAAAATAAACTCAAAGTGGCTTAAACACTTAAGGACAAGACACTACAAACCTCTTAGAAGAAAACACAGGCAAAATATTATCCAACATAAATCTTAGCATTGTTCTCCTAGGGCAATCTACCTGAGCAATAGAAATAAAAGCAAAAATAAATAAAGGGGAACTAATTAAACTTATAAGCTTTTGCACAGCAAAAGAAACTATAAGCAAAACAAAAAGACAACCTAAGGTATGGGAGAAAATATTTGCAAAAGGTGAGACTGACCAAGGCTTAATCTCCAGATTATATAAACAGCTCATACAACTTAATAAAAAAGAAAACCCAGTCAAAAATGAGCAGAAGACCCAAACAAGCAATTCTCCAATAAAGACATACAAATGGACAATAGTCACATGAAAAAAATGCTCAATATCGCTAATTATTAGAGAAATGCAAATTAAAACTACAGTGAGGTATCACCTCACACCAGTCAGAGTGGCCATCATTAAAAAGTCCACAAATGATAAATGCTGGAGAGGGTGTGGAGATAAGGAAACCCTCCACACTGTTGGTGGGAATATAGTTTGGTGCAGCCGTTATGGAAAACAGTATGTAGATTCCGCAAAAAACTAAAAATAGACTTACCATATGATCCAGCAATCCCACTCCTGGGCATATATCCAGAGGGAACCTTAATTCAAAAAGACACATGCACCCCAATGTTCATAGCAGCACTATTTACAAAAGCCAAGACATGGAAACAACCTAAATGTCCATCAACAGATGACTGGATAAGAAGCTGTGGTATATTTATACAATGGAATACTACTCAGCCATAAAAATAATACAATAATGCCATTTGCAGCAACATGGATGGACCCAGAGAATGTCATTCTAAGTGAAGTAAGCCAGAAAGAGAAAGAAAAATACCATATGATATCACTTAATGCCAAAATTCACATCACTCTCCAAATCCAGAGGATGATAAAAGGATATTCAGTGTAGTGTAGCCTCAAAATCTTCTTTACTTAAAATACTTGCAAAATAGATTAATAATATTCCTACTTTATTTAAAATGACATGTATGTTTAAGTCTCTACAAAATATTTTACCAAAAAAAGATGGACAAGGGTTTGATTAATTACGGAGTTAAAAGGTCTTTGAGAATGAAAGCATGTTTACAGACATCTGTGGCAGTGGTTCACTCATTCTGTCCCACCTTCTAAATATGTCCAATAGGACCTGATTATATTTGCCCAGGGTGGTAGATACGTATTTCCTAAGACAGTATCTTTCATATCTTTCATGATCTTTACAAAAGTTTTAAATGTTAAGAAGATCTTTATTGCGTTGAACCCAGACCTAGCTTTGCATTGATCTGCACCGTTTATTTGTTGTTTTGTTCTTTCGGGACACAGGAAATAAATGAAAACCTTCTGATACCCATATCCTTACCTCATTCCCCGTGATTTTTGAAGTTACAAAATCAGATAAATAATAGCGCAAAATGAGATTGGGCAAAAAATTTTTTAAGTTTCTATAGCTTCAGAAACCTTACTGTGAAAGAGAAAAAAAGGAAAGTAGCACTGAAAAATTAAGAGCATCGCTGAAGCGTTTATTATACTCATCCCTCTGTTCATTTCTATCCATTATATTCATCTCCCAAAGCGTCTGTTTTTAACCGGAACTTCTCTTGGAGTTGAGGGTGGGGTGCAGATCCAAGAGGAATTGAGATACTTAATAAGAATAAAGCAGTATTTTTCAGTATTTTAGAACTGCTGAAGTCAGGTTACAATGAACAATGAAATCTTATGGAAGAGGAAAGCAGTCACCATATAACAGAAACAAGCATGAATAACGTATGAAGAAGATGGAGCTTGGACCACTCATATTCAGTGGCTCTAGAGGATGAGCAAGACAGACAGAGGAGGTAGTAATACATCACAAGCTCTCCAGGTATCTCTCGTGGACTCATTGCCTAATCACCTGAAAGGTGTGGAGGTGGGACACGTACCTTAGGAACTGGATGTTTTGCTCATTTTATTGATTAGCTCTCTGATACAGTCAGAGAGGAAAGATTGCTAGGAAAAAATGAGATGCTCCCTTTCCTTCGTCTCCCCTCTGTGGTCTGTGCCTCTGTGTTTGTCTTTTAAATCTAGGCATTTCTCACTGGGATTATTAATCCCATCGTCTCACTTTCTTTCAGACAAAAGTAAAAGGCACTATGTCCCCCTTAATCGGAGTCTCGCATGTACAATGCTTGGCGGTCAATGCAAAACTACATGCAGTGAAAAAGAATTTAGGATGATAGACTGTAAAAGACCGACAACTATTTGCTGCATGAGAGAGTGTGACCCTAGGACGTATTGAAGAGTCCCATTCGCAGAAAGAAGACCAGCATGAAGCGCCTTCTTATTACTTCATTACTTAGATTACTTCATCCACAGCCTAGTATTTCCGTTCATATATGTCTCTAATAAATAAAGAATTAAATAAAATATATTTCAGCCTGAATCATTCATGAACATTGTGTCTGCTTGGAAGAAAGAGTTAGAATACAGAGGAGAGCTTTGAACTTGGGAATAGCAGCAGATGGGAGAGAAGTCCCTGATGGAACTACTGTGTTCAATGAGGTTCTGGGGACAATTCTATGTGTGAAAAGCACGTTGTAAATGATTGGTGATGTAAAGCAAGCATTCTTCGAGAAGAGTCAAGAGTGGAGAGAGAGGTTTTAAGAGATGGAAGGTATGTGTTATCCCTGAGCTAGTGAAAATGGTTACAAGAGTTTTGAAGTATTACGGAGTCCTTATAACTTTTTCATCTTAGTTACACTTTTCCTCTGCTTATTGATAGAATTCTTACAGTAAAAATAATTCAAGAGCATAGCCAGTCTTTTGAGAAAAAAATAAGGCGTTAAGGATAATCATTGTTAGGCAAGTAGATTAATCTCTCTTGATCTCACTTTCCTCGCCTATATCATGAAAGGATTTGATGAGAATCTTCAAGAAGCTCCACGTTCTTTACTAATTGATGGCACAGATTTTATGACTCTGTGATTCATTCTTCCGAGTTTTGAATCCGGTTTTCTAGAGTAATATGTGGAGACTTTCAGCAGTGTTAGCATACCAGGACCTTGTTAGAAATGTATTTGTCAGGCTCCATTCTAGACCTACTAAATCAGAAGTGCTGAGGTGGGGTCTTGCAATCTGCTCTTAGCAAGCCCTCTAGGGGATTGTGCTGTAGCTGAAGTTTAACAATGATTATCCTAGAAACTCTCCTGACTTTGTGGTAGGAGAGAGTCAATTAACTGTTCTGGGTACTGTGTAAAACCTGCAGCTCTCCCTCCACCTGAAATAATAGTCTTGGACAGCATGCAAATTGGATCAGAAATCACTTCTGGTTCCATAAACAGAATTAAAAACATTGGTCCTAGAACTGTGAAATCAGATGGTATAAGAAATTCATAAGTCATACTTAAAAACCTATTGTGTAATTCCCCATACTCATTAGTGACTCCAGAATGATCATGTTCATTTAAATAATTACACATTATGTGAACTGAAATAAATCATTCAAACTCCCACCCCCTAGTTCTTTGTAAGCAGACGAAATATCAATGGAAACTTCTAGCTTTCTAAAATCCTATGGTTCCAATATTCAATAACTTAACACTAGGAGCATCAGAATATTTAGTACTATATGTAACATGTAATAGAGGATTTGTATTATTGCAACATTTTCACCCTGATGTTTTAGCAATCCAGACACATATCCCTTTAAAGTCCCTTAAAGATTGTGTTTTTATGAGAGTCTATTTAAGGTGACACAAGCAGGTTTTACTTTTATGGAAAAAAATATAATAATAATTTTTGTGACCCTGTTCTTTGAACATAGCGCTATTCAACCAAGCATACAAATGTTCTTGCCATTGATAAGCCTCAGTAGTTAAAACTACTTCCCAGGAGAATCTATAAATAAAAGGGTTCTCTGTTTCCTTATTTGAAAATAGCTGACTTGAAAAAGAAGATCTGTTGGCTCTTTTTTTTGCCCCCTAAGGAAACTCTCTACCATGAAGATCCATCTCTTTTTCTTTATCCTGCTCTTTTGGGTCACAATTTTACAAGGTAACATGAAAATGTTTATGGGTACACTTGTGTTAATGAATTTGAGGAGGCGTCCATTTTTCCTTGTTAAAAGTATTGTATTAACATAGAGATTAAATGGTTTTTATGCTAAATGCAATGTGGTACTCTAGAGTGAACCCTGGAACAGAAAAAAAAAAACCAATAGTGGGAAAACTGGTGAAATGTGAATAAAGTCTGTAGTTTAGTTAACAGTACTATAGTGATATTAATTTTTTAGTCTTGATAAATGTACCGTGGTTAAGTGCGACGTTACCATAAGGGGAAGCTGGCCCCTATGATCTTTGCAACTCTTCTGTAACTCTAAGATGATTTCAAAATGGAAAGTGTAAAAGACCTGCAAGATCTCATCTTGCTTCATCATCCTCATCCTGAAACAGTTAGTCAGAATCGATGCTTGCTGGAAAAAAATATTCGTTAGCATCACCAATGGGTACATGGTAGACAGTTCAGTTTAGAATAGAGCTCTATTTTTCTTTTTCTTCTTTTTAACCTCCGCCAGGATACTACTTCCAGTCTAGGAAGACTTTCCTAATATTCTGTCCTTGGTACTACAGGCAAACCATGTCCCTTGCTGGCCTTTCTTTAAATATTTCTGGTTGCTACCCTCCTGTCTCTGAGTGCTGCAGATCACGTGAATGTTTAGGGTACTCGTACATGGGTGATATTTTTCATGAGATTTTCTTCCCCTTTGAGGATTATCTCTTCACACCAGGTGTGTAACCAGATTCCCTTCTTCTGAACTAATATGTAAGTATGAATTGTACAGAAATGAAAGAGTAAGGTTTGGAGATGGAGAGACCATTGAATCTCCTCCCTTCTTCTTAAAAAGCTTACGGTAGAAGAGTGAGTTCAGTCTTCCCAGTTTATAATAACGGCCCTGAAATTATGCTCAATTCACTAACTTTCAGAAAAATGTTCTTTTGTAGAACCTGGCCGACATCTTTAGGATAAATGGAAATCACAATAGTACCCAGGAGAATGAATTAACTTATTATTTCACTGTGAATATTATAAAGTCCATCATGACAATCTAACACTTTTCACATAATAAACTGAGAAATTATCACTTAAAGGTTGCAATTGGAATAAATTCTTCTATATAGGGGACAAACATCAATAAAGTAACAAAGTAATACAGTTCATTGTTAATTTAACTAAGAAAGTAACTTCCTCTCCCTCCATTCAAAAATTGTCACAAAAGGGTCTCTGGATTTTTTCCAGCTCTAGGAAGGGCCGAAAGGAAATTCTACACAGATTCATACAGCTTATAACATGTGATAAGTCTTTTTAAATTTCTTTTTTTTTTTTAATTTCAACAATAGCCAACATGACTAGATCACTATGCCAAGTGTTTTTATGTTGTGTTAGCTTATTTTTTTCCCTTATAACAGTGCCCCTGGTAATGACTAATGCTATTTATGCATTTATGAATGAATTTATAATTATGTGTTCTGAGACTTAGAAATTATAAATCTCTTGGAGGATACAGTGGCATAGATTAAAACACTGATGTGATTAACTTTTTGTATATTTTCTCTTATCTTTTCAAAGTGAGGCCATTGTTCTTGTTAACCACGTGTGTACCAAACTTTTAGAGAACTGCTACCATTAGTGATTAAAAAAAAAAGTAAAAGAAATATGTCAAGATATAGATTTTCTTCACAAAATCAGAAGAGGTGTCTATGGAATAGAGACACTTAGACAATAATACAGTGGTAAGAATGCTGTCTTTCATCTTATAGCTCACCAACATATGGTGGTTGAACTAAACTGGATAAAATTAAATGTCTTATATACAACTCTTAGAGTCCCTCAGTTGTTTTTTTATATTTCACCTTCAGATGGTGGAAGTTCTGACTCAAAATTGAGGTACAAAAACTCATCCTTTTCCACTCAGACTGTTACAGATGAAAAGATGTCTAGATTAAAGGTCCTTACATTTTCTACGCAGGCAAATTTCCACTGAAGTCACTTCGTTTTCCCTCCTCATTTTCTCAAGTTACATAAAGGCACCGAATGTCTAGAAATGAAGTCTTGTTTCACTCTCATCTACTGTCTTACTCTATCTGCCAAACTGGAAACTGCATTATTGCCAATAATCACTTTTCTTTAAGCCTGACATGGACTGTGGATAGGAGAGTATAGTTCTGCGTTCAGAAGGTAGTCATGACTTCCCCCACCCCAGGTTTACAAGAAAGTTAAAGACAGTCTAAGGCATAAAATAGCAAGTAAGTGAAAATAAAAGGAAATTATTTTTTAAAATAACTTTTTAAAGATACTTGAGGAGCTATTGTGCCCATTTTTAGGTTATATATTAAGTAGAGTTTTACATATGGGTTTAAAGAAATCCCCGAACATGTGAAAATGTTATAGGCATAATGTGAATGATATTATCAAGTGCTTTGTGAGAGCAACGGAGACATTATTTTCTTGAAAGTGATCAACAGAGACTTCAGAGAGAAGACAGTATCTGAACAATGGATCTGCGGGCAGAGGCAATACATGTTTGGCTCATCACAGCACAGAGGTTTTCAGTGAGGGCAAGGAGATATGATGTGATGTCTGGAGACCTTTTAGGTTGTCACAACGGGCACTACTGGCATCTAATGGGTAGAGCCCTGGGATGTTGCTAAACACTCTTCACTGAATAGGATAACATCCCACAAAAGAACAGTCCAACCCAAAAGGTCAACAGTGCCTGGGGTGAGGAAGCCTGCCCTGGGGACGGTCATGGAGTGTGACAAGAAGTGCACCGAAGAGTTGAATGAGTGGATGGGTGCTTGCAAAGATGAGTGTCAGTGGTCCAAGGACATGAGGGGAAGACTCCTATTTAGAGGTCAGAATGAGGAGAAAGAAGACAATAATATTTTCAGAAAAATGAAATTAGACAAAGAAGGGATAGAAAGGGGGTGAGGTCAGTTTAGGGTGGAATATTGGACAACAGTGTAGTGTCACATGTGACAGAACTCTTGTCTGAAATGAGTATAATTCAGGTTTCTATCACTGGCGAATCATACATAGGCTTGATAATAGTAATTTCCCCAGAAACTGCAGAGTAAATAATGATATTTAGAAGTTTACATTTAAACTGCTCAGAGTAACCATGCATATTTTTGGCTGTATCTTGTATCATATTCAGCATTGCTTGAGTTATAGTGAGAAGACAGCTAATTTTAACAGAAGAACTAAGTTTCATATTAGCTGTTTGTACCAACAATATGGAAGATGTCATTCTGAGTCTAGAGACCCATGACTAAGTACCATCACTCACCACCAACTGGAAATGTAGACACAATATCCAGGCAGAAAGGCCTGGCCTATAGAGGAACTATTTGATACCAAACCTTAATGAATAGTAGAAACTAGTGGTAGGATTCATTTGCTTTCATACCATGAATATATAAAAAATATTTGAGTCTGCCCTGTGGTCAGCCATTGGCAAAATTCAGAGTTCTCCCACACCAGTTCTCTTTAATCTCACAGCATCTTAAGGTAAGTACTTATCAAAAGTGATTTGTATATTTAAAAAGACCCCCAAAACAAAAAGGGCTTCTCAAAGTACATAGGTCAACGCATCAAGTGAAATATGCAATTAAAAGAGATTTGGCTTAGAATGGATCTTACAGTCTATCAGTCCAACATCTCCCAGTTCCCCAGGGATCTCCAACTACCCTAAATGATCAGCTTTAGTGAGAGGCAGTCTCCAAACTACAAGGCAAAACATGGAGCTGGGAGCACTGGTAATTTTAGAAATCATGCAATGGTCCAAAA